GCTATTAGTCTTATTTTGAAGGCTTTTTAATGTTTCGCAACCCGCTAACAGGTTTTTGGTTGGTCAGAAACGTTCAAATGCTCAAATGTTTGTTTCTAAACAGGTGAAAAGTTTGGCTATTAAATACTCAACAACATAGCGTTTTGGCGTATGGTTTGCATCAAGGCTCAGTCTACTAAACCAATAAATGGGTATTTTATAAGAAACGCAGGTTACAGTCCCCAGAATAACTCCAGAATATCACCCTTTCTGATAGCTCTACGCAGAAAGTTCGATTAAAAGCGTGACGTTTAAAGTTTTTATCCCAGACAGCTGGAGCGGAAAAGGGAAAAGTGTTCAATTCCACCATTCTGTTATTTAACACCAGCGCATTTTGACATATTATTTTCATTTAATTCGTGACATTTATCTATGCAGTTTGTCTGTTTTTCGTTACCACTGAGTCCACTCTCCAGGAACCAAGTTTACTTTTGACAAGGTAGGAAGCCTGACTATCTAAACTTCTTTACTGATTCATTTTACTGTTGTAGGTTTATACGCTTGTTAAAGAAGAAGACTGCTTTGTCGGTAGTCAAACCTTCATGTTTTCCCAGTGCTAGGACAGTTGCAGTTTGACAGCATCGTATTTAAATTCAAAGTCAGTTAACAATCAAAATTCAGAGAAAATTTAGCTGTCAATTCTGAGTTAATTTCACTTCGACGTTTCATTTCAATTAACGAAATGATAAACTCCATTGTTATACAGACAGTAGCAATATAGGAGTGAACTAAAACAAGTCCTTTGTGCTAATAGCGGCACAGGTTAAAACTATTGAATTATGGAACGCTTGTCTTTTGGGGCACAGTTATATTTACTTTTTAAAAAAGCCTTGGAGTTTACGTCTCTCTAAACTATACGATATCCAAGAGCACAGCAACACTCGTGCTATGTGTTGGTAAGGGTAACTATGTTATGCAGTTCTTTACAAAATGGCGAAACAGGTGTTGCAAAATAGGAATTTTGCCTATCGAATCTAATGTTTCGTTAATATAGCCATTTGAAGCCGTAAAAATTGCAGTTTACTTGAACTGAGTTTAAACCGTGCTCAACCTTTGTATCGTCGGCGTTGGCTCGTGTCCGAACATCAATTTCTGCTAAAAGCACTGTGTCCTCTGTGCCTTGGAGGTGGCTTAGCAGGCCAACTTTGCATAGAATTTGCGAGGGCAGTCAGGGCACGGGAAGGTGGGCGGTGGACGAGGGGCTGCAAGGCGGCGATTTTGCTCTTTACGATTCTCTTCGGCTTTGCGCCTCCACTCCACTTCAAACATGGCAGTCCCGGTGGAAATGGACTGTGGCCAGCCGGATCGACTTGCCGCTGTTGTCTCCCTTGTCCTCAGATCAATTCCAGTTTTCCAGTTTATGCCTATGCTAAATGACAATAAAGACTACATATTCTTTTGTGATTACCTTTCCCTGGAGAGAATCGGTAAAAGAACTTGTAGATAAACTTTACGACTAGGGTTTTCCGACTGGACATTTTTGGCTTGGCTCTACGTTATAAGAAATGAACCGCTCAACAACGAGAAGCAACTGAAAATAGCAAATTAGTGAAAGTGGCACGGAGATTTCTACATGTCTCCAAGTTTGGTATTGTAAGCGTTTCAAATAATTAGAAACCTAAACTTTGAAGTTTCAAATGGACATTACTTTTGAAATTCTTCTATCCTGGAGCCCTAAAATATTGAAAAGCGATCTTTTGCAACATTTTCCTTTACGGCCGAAAAAGGACAAAGTTTTATGCCTACCCACCAAGCATGCCCCAAAGTAACAATGACGAAACAGAAACTTTGGGCTTAAACTATCGCGGAATTAAGGCCTGTAAAATTTAAAAATACTAAACATGTTTTCCTCTAAAGAAGTCGTCGGGTGAAAAGTAATTTCCAGTTCGCTTCGTTGTTTACCTGAATATTCCTCGGGTTAAACTTCCTGCTAATGTCGGGGGGGGGTCTGTAACCTTGAAATTCAGTATATAAGAGACACCTAAAGTCTGCCTCAGATAAATGAACGGTACTTAAATAAGTCGCCAGCGAAATTTCGTGTTGTTCAGTCTTAACGATATTTTAAGATTGATAAAATGAGAGAAGTTAATGGGGTTGGGTATTATTGAGATTAAATGTATGCTTCACATTTGGCGAATATTTAAAACAAACAGCTACAGCTGTATGGTTCGATTTACAGAAAGAACAGAATGTGTTTCTGTTCGTGACACAAATTATTCGAAATTGCTTGGCGTTCACCAAGTCTGCAAAATAATTTACTACATGCATCAGCTGCCCATGAAAAATTTATCCCGGCCCAGAGTTTAGGTGGAAATGCTCTTGTGAAACCAAGTATAAAACGTATTTCCTTTAGCCTTGAATCACTCCATCGTTGTAAGAGTTTTGAAGGTTTCGTTTCTAATTTTGAGACTGCGTAACTTGAACTCTGAAACGTAGTATGGAACTTACCGCAAGAATGGGTAAATTGTTTACTGTCTTCAAGAGGTGCAATTTGAGGTTCTATTTTACCGCAGCAGAGTTGCAATATCCTTAACTGCTTGAGATAAAAATGCGACAAAAACACATTCTAAAAACAAATGAGATATTCTAAAGCAAAATTTCTGGAATGAATTTGACAATTGGGCGTTGATTTTGCCTTAAAGAAATAACTGATCTGGCTTAAAGTGTTTTTCGTCCATGGTTTTGACCGGCTGGTAAATAACTGGCAATAAAGAGATTTTTAAAATTGCTGCCTGAAAATGAAAAAGATTCGTAGAAATTTCCACGTACATTTTCTGTGTTACCCTAAAGTACATGGAAATTTCCATGTACCTTAATGCAATAAAAATGTATAGGTACATGGGAAATTTCCATGTACTTTGACATGTGTTGTGCATGAAGGTACATAGAAATATCCATGCACCTATACATGTTTATTGCATGAAAATTCATGCACAACACATGTAAATGCAACGTCTGATAAACGCTTCAAAACCGGGCGAAGTGCAGAAGGAAGTCCAGGTTTTTGGGTCCAAAAATAACTTCTACGAGGTAGCAGGGTTTTCGTACACAGACTCATGTCTTTTTTGACGTAGCATAATAATAGTATTAATTTTTCGATGATGTTCTAAAAGTGCGATTTCCGAACACGGAACTTGACGAGTCACTTTCCCGTTGTTAATTAACAAAACAAAGTTATGCATTCATTTATGGAAATGAAGGTAGCTGGTGCAGTTCAAAGGACTTAAAAATTAAAATTTTGGTTCACCAAAAAAATAATAATACGAAGAATGGGTGGTCTTCAGTTTGTGGGAGAAATTAGCTCGCAGCTAATTAATTACGGTTGGAAAACTTTAATGTTCCGCCTTTGATGCTGCATTACTTGAGAAACAATTTCGGTTGTTTAAATTTCAGGGGTGGCAAATGGTAGACGCGAGACTTCGTGAGACGGCGATACAAGCGTTTTTCTCTGCGAGTCCGAGATAACTTGACTTATTCGTTCAAACTCTTAAAATTCGAGCCCCAGATATAGTTGAAAGCTAGAATGAGCTTGTACAGTCTTTGAGCCAGCTCCTTCGAAATGGCTGGACTGAAGTGGAAATTTGATTATAACACACCACGTTATGACATCCTAGAGCAAAATAACTGTTTTTTCTAAAACGGACGTTGAGGTAGGTTTTGTAGGTTTTTGTGGAATTCGGACAATTTAGGATTAACTTTTTCTCGGAAATTTGTTAGTTACTTCGTTGACATTCAATATCAAGAGACGAGAAGACGTCATTTATAAAAACAGATAAACGAACAAATTGGGGCTTCGAGACCATTAGTCTTGCGAAAAATCAAGACTCCAAGACAGCGAGTCGTACAGAACCGCCAAAAAAACGAGACTGCGAGGCCCGTGAAATTCGACTAAAATTTTGCAAGACCAAGAGTTTTTGAAGGACCATTTGCCACCCCTATTTTCGGACACTTAATCTCAAATTGGACACTTCGCTGAAACATAGCTAAAGTAAATTTACGCCTGCAATCACGAATTAGACGGGAACGACATCAAAAGATGATTGTTTTATTGCACCCTAAAGGTTTTACGAATTCATCGACGAGAAAATAGCACAAATTCTATCAAGCCATTACGCATCTCAAGTAGAGTTCGCTCCATAAAGCCCGGCTTCTTTGTCATAAGAAAATAAAATTGATTTTCAAATATTTGAATCCGCCATACTGTAAACAGAGAATGTTTGAAAAGTGATTAATTGACTTCACGTTTTTTTAGTTAATCTCTTTGGCATTTTCGTCGTTTTGTTTAGTCTTCACTTAAATTTTAATTTTAAACTTTAAACACCCACCACATAATAACAGTAGAAATTACAGATCTCGGGACCATAATTCGACATATCTTTGGCACTTCTACTTAGGTGAAATTTAAAGGCTTTGATATTCCAGAACTACTTTTAATTTTAGACATCAGCACAGGAAAGGAAGTGTAGGACAAAAAACAGGAAATTTTGAACTCGTTGACACCAACATTTGTTCTTTTTCCATTAGGCCGGTATTTATATTTCTCTTCGAAGTTTGACTGGTTTTCATTTCGAACTGAAACAACCCACCAGGATGTAAAACTTTCTGTCAAGGTGAGTTCAGTGAAGTCTATGTCAACATTTTTTCTAATCATGTCTACTGTAGATCTTACGCTTTTGAACATTATTTCGCGACTGAGGCTTACTTGGTTTCTATATTCAATTCTATGAAACTTGCTCGTGTAAAAAAACTCACAGTCAGTTAAAACAATATAATGCCACAGAAAGTTGAACTTCTTTATTCGCCGCGAATTGTATTTAGACGTTTTGGTGATACGATATCTCAGATACTGTCTCCTTCCTAACGCGTTGTGGCCATCATATACGTAGGATCTTTCTGAGGCGCGTGAATTGAAGTGTATCCAGCCTCCTCCCTTCAGTTCTTGTTATATTCCAGGTTTCGCATCCATAAAGTAGTACTGCCCGCCATAGCGTCTTGAAAAGTCTGATTTTCACGTTCCAACCAATACTCCTCGTGCCTTGCTTAGAGGTTTCAGTGCCTCCACCATCCTTTTTCACAGTCGCTCTTAGATAGACAAACTTTTCTACATCTTGCACTTCTTCACTTCCAATCTTTACTTTGTCTTCTCTTCGTGCATTCATTCTCCTGCACTTAGTTCTGAGCACGATGTCTGTCATCCTGCGTTGTCTACCAGTCGGTCGATTCTGTTCTGTATGTGCTCATACTTTGATGGAAGAAGGGGTTTGTCGTCTACAAAACCTAGGTCTTTAAGAGAAGTTGTGAAGTTTCCATCTGATGTCGCTTCTCTGCCCATCTGTCGTCCTAAGCATCACCCATTCCACAACGAGCAAGGACATGACACAACCTTGTTTGTACCTGACCTTCATCATTCTTATTAGTTTGTCAGTGATGCTAAAGGCATTCGTGATTCTCCGCTTTGCCGAATTTGCGTATACAGTGTCGCTTACCACTCGTTGATCCGTTCCACGATGTTAAGGACAATAAATATTTGCTCAACTGTGCTCTTGCTGTTTCAAAAATCAGCTCGTTTCTTTCTAAGGCATTGTCTGCTCCGTTCTGGATTCTCTGAATGACGACTCTCGCCGTTTCTTTGCAATCTTCAGGCCACAGTGTCACACCACGTCAGTTTTTAAACCCGTTCAGATCTCCTTTTTCAGGTAGCTTAACTATCAGGCCTTTCATCCATTTGTCAGGTACCTTCACCTCATGCCATATCCTGTTAAACGATCTTGTCAGTTCTTCGCTGCCTGTCTTTCACAGCTAGTGCTTTTCCGCTCTTTGTCTTCTCTTATTTCGGTCGTGTCCATCTCGCTAATTTCATCGTGCTCTCCAGTTGGTTTTGTCGGAGCCTCCCTGCCTAAATAATTGTACCTCTTAAGAGTGTTAAGTCATCTTTCAAGTCAAACATCCTTGTCATTTACTATCAAACCATTCCTTTTCTTGACTACTGCAACTTCCCGACGCGCTTTGTTTTTTTTATTTTACTGGCTGCTTGGTGTACACTTCTCTTTTTCTTCCCTTCTAAACTGACTTTTCTGCTTCACTCACTATCTGTTATAGTCAGACCCTTTTGTCCTCTCTTGTCTTCAAGAGCGCTTACTTCACCTCTGCTTCTTTTTTCTCCGCTGTGTCAATCTCGCTAATTTAGTCTGTCTCCACTGAAAGGTCTTCAGTTGTTTTCGTCGGAGCCTCCATGCCTAGTAAATGTACCTCGTCAAAGTGTTGAGCCATCTCTCAAGTCGAGTATTCTTGTCTTTTATTAGCCCACCGTTCTTGTTCTTGACTGCAGCGACTTGCCGTGCTCCTTTTTCGTGATTTTCCTGGCTGCTTGGTACAGTTCTCTTGTTCTTCCCTTCTCAGCTGACTTTTCTGTTTCACTCCTTACCGTAAATCCTCGAATTAGCGCTCGGGGCGCTTATTTCAAATTTAGGAGAAGATGGGGGGCGCTTAATCGGCGCTGTTTATCTCAAAGTCTTTTGTCTAGCCCGTTCTTCATCCGTTCCAATATTACCCTGTTAAGTATCTTTCCAGCTGATGACAACGACATAATTCCGCGCCAGTTTTTGCACTCTTGTAGGTCTCCTTTCTTTGGCAGCTTGATTAGGTGGCCTTCCTTCCTTTCATTGGGCAATTCTTATGTCTCCCAGGGCATAATTTGTTGGTGCGTGACACTGGATTACAGTGACCTTCCGCACTGGAAGAAACAGGCTCCCATTCTATCAAGGACTTGGTTACTTCCTTTGAGAACATGAAAGCTCCACCCTTTGTGTGTTGGGTATTCTCCTCTGCGTGGCCTGAGTAAATAACATCGTCTCCCCACTAACTAGCCTCACTCTTCCAGCTTGAATCTATCTTGTCTCGCATAGACGTAGGAGTGCCAATCTATCTGCTCTCATTCCCATCGCAATCTGCGCAGTCTTTTCGGTTTCATACACTGTCCTAACATTCCACGTTCCGAACATGGTGTTTTCCTTGAGCGTGAGAAAGGGATAGACGAGTAAGCTTCCTTCCGGGTTTTGCCACATTGCGTCATAGACGTTGGTGAGACACCTCCTCATCCCTCAGCTTGTTGAGTTTCGAGGCTTCCTTGAAAGGTTTTTCTAATCAGCTTCATCCACTAAACGGGTGACTAGCCAATCTATCTTCACCGTTAGCCACGCGTTTTTCAAGGTTCTAGACAGGCTTACATGGCTACCGTGGCAGCCCGAAGGAACAGATCGTCTGCCATACTTCACCCTGTCTAGCAATCCTCTACTTGACCTGTTGCCCACCTGCAAGACTTGGACGAGGGATTGGACAGGCAAGAGCCCCTTGTTTACTTACTGATTGTCACGTGTCAACCATGAATGTCAGATTATGCTCAAGGGACGTCCCATTTCATTTTTTGGAGTAAAAGCCAATGACATTTTCATCATTTCTTTCCCCATTAGACGCCAAACTTGATTACCAATTATAAGTTAGTATTCAGTAATTCTTACCTATTCTCAAGGTGCATGTTGGTGTTTATGATTGCAGTTGTTCCACTGAGTTCAAGATGCATAGCTGGTCTTATACAGCAGCAGTTTTAATTGCAATATCCGTTTGGAATAAAGGTAAGCCTTTTGTAGATAGCACGTACACTCAAAAGTGTCGTTGAAGACCAAATGTGCAGTTATAACTAGATAAACACAAAGCTAAAGACGAGGAGTGCGGACATCATTTCAAATTATCCTTTAATTTTTAATTGAAATGCAGTGATAAACATGTTTTAAACAAATACGCACACAGGGAAGTACTGATACAGGGCTAATGTTAACCAAATTATTTTTTCATTTCCTTTTCCAGAAAGCCATTGGTGACTCACAGAATTGAAAAATATAGAACAATTAAATTAATCTAAATCGACATAAATTATCTGTTCTAAATTTAACTCTTCTGCGTACCCTTCCTCCGGCTAAAATGACACTCAAGAAATTAAGAAACAGTTGCTTTCGACTCGTTCCACAATTTTCCATTTTAACAGTAAAATACAGTGATTTAAATTGCATTTATTTTCACAATTATCTAATATCGAGACATCTTCCTTTGTAGATGTGTTTTCTACAACATGTAACTTTAACTTAAGTTGTGCTCAGTTCAACACGTCCGAATCCGAATCTTCGAATACTTCCACCTGGGTCATCAGTGCACCACTGAACCACACCATCGGAATAAAATTTGAGACCTTTCAGTTATCCGATTCACAAAAATACGGACATAATTGGATCAAAATCTATGATGGTCGCAGGACAAATAATGCCTCGCTGGGGGTTTTTACCGGAGTAAGGCGACCTTTCATGGTACAGTCAAGTGGCCAATTTATGTTGGTGAAACTAATAAAGGGACTGCATTTGACTTCCCTTTGCAACTTTACGGGTGTTTGCTCACTTCACTCAACTAAAGGTAAGTTTTTACCAATTTGGCTTTTTTTCGTAGGAATTCTAGTGAGCAGAGAAAACGGAGAAATAAATCTTTAAAATCTTTGATAATCGAATTCAGACATCTTCATGGTTATGATTTCCATTGGTGAATTATTAATGAGTTTAAGCGGGTGTTTTTACATCACAAATGTCTTGCATAGTCTTGTTACCATTTTGGCCAATAAAATTTTGTTTGGTATATTGATTCATCCATTACCTTGCATGTGTAGATAAACCGAAAATCTCGATCCCAGACCAAGATGTACGGACCGCACCAGATCTCTTTGTTTGGTGTTCCGCCGAAGGATCCCCACCAATCAACATATCCATCTTTAACAACTCCAACTTTTTGGATAATGGGAAGGACTTGGTAATGACTCGATTAAATGAAACTGGAAACTACTCATGTGTGGCTACGAATGAAGCCGGTATTGACAAGAGAGAGTTCTCAGTTACTGTTGTAGGTAAGATGTATATTGATGTAGTAGCTGCAAAGAGATCCTCTGGGTTTTGAAAGTAATGATTATGCTTTGGTTTTGTAAAATAAAGAAGAGTGATATATTCCTTCATTTACAAGCAGATTGCAGAAATCTGTGTTTTAACCATGGTAACGTAACGAACGGCCAAGTTGAAAATAAAGTTTGGTGCAATGCGTCAAGTTCATCAGTTGACATCTTCAAGTGCCTTCCCACGACGGCTACAATCCTGTGAGTAAACTCTTTTATTGGATTTTCGTACTGTACATCGAACGTTTTACGACCTATTTAGCTTATTTTTGTTGAAATTTCCTTTCAACATTTTGAGGAAGAATGGAAGTCATAGATTTCTCACTAAGACGATAAACAGAGATTGTCTATGTTAGGCCAACAAGTTTCATGATCACTGCTAAATATTGTCTTTTTGCTCACTGAATTAGCAATATAACAAGGACCGACATAACATACTTACCCAAAGAAGCATTCCGTCACATGGATGCGCTTAAAATGCTGTACGTACCCAACAAAAACCTGTTTTTGTCATAGTCTGAGAACAGGCTCCGCCCTAGGGGTCCTGGGCGAAGAGAAAATCGGAGAACAGAGGAGTTGAGCCCAAATAACAGAAATTTTTAAGGAACCTTTTCACACGCGACTTTGATCATCACGCGACATTTTGATTTTTAAAGATTTAACTTTTATCTATTGTCAGAGACCCGCAAAACGTGATTTCTCTTCCTGAAGTTTAGTGAAAAATTATTCAACAAAATCAAGATCATTGCTCTTGGTTTGTGATAAAAGAAACGTTTCAATCTGTTGATGGTCTTGGACGAACAAAAGCGAGTATAAAAACGCGAAAGTTGCTTTTTCTCCACTTTCCTACCCTCTTAGAGTTTACTTTGATTTTCTTAACTTTCCTTTTCTTTTTTACCTCGTTAATACCTGAAAGAGGGTTTAAATAAGTTAAGAGCGATTCCATCAACGTTTCCTTTCCAAAACGAGATAAATTTTATAGCCCGTCCAGTCATATTATGTGTGAAGATTACGTGACATTTTATGTTGAAAAACGACCTTTGTGCAAATTAAAAGAAATTCTTACTGTATTTTTGCGCAATCAGATTTGTTCCCCCCCTCCCGAACCCCGCCTCCAATCGAATAAGTTTTTCAACAGCTGCCATACCCAAGTGAAGGGTCTGATGGTTAAAAAATAATCACAATTCCTTTCTTTTTTGTTGCAAACACAAGCCGCACTACATTACTTTACTATAAACTATTTTCTCTTCTTTCTCTAGTGATATCAGGAATAACAAAATAGAAAAGCTACAAGAAGATGTGTTTGCAGATTTATTCAGCCTGCAAGAATTGTAAGTTTGCACCTCCATGAAATATGATTACGATTTTAAAAGGCATTTAAAAATGAAATGAAAATTGTTATGCATTACAGACTTCACAAAACAAACGCAGACCTTCTTACTTGCCTAGGTGTATTATTTGCCCTGATTGACCTATGAATTTACATGCTCAACTCAACAAAAACTTTAAACTCGCCTATACATAACCAAAAGGGACCAAGCATATTGTGTATGGAAGAGAACCAGAGGTAAAATAACCTTTACCACCTCTATGCCGCAGACATTCGATTCTGTGCATTTGGTGGCGTATTGCATAAGCTGGACCATAATCGCGAGACTATGAATTTTTTGAAAGTTCATTTTTTTTTTTTTTTTATGAACGTTACTAACGTCGCCGCTTCTTTTTGCACGAAGCGTCTGTTTCTCAGGAGAGTTGTATTTGTGAACGGTACTAGAGCACAATCTGTCACAGACATTTCCGCCCCCAGATCGGATCAATCAGCACCTTCGCAAACATTCAACGAAGTGAAGCCATGATCATCATCGGCGTCGATAGACGAACATAATTACTAGATACATGTATATGTGTCCTGTAGTTACAAAGTTGGTAACCTTCATTGAGTCGTCCCGTTGGTGGCCAATTCCCAGATAATACAAGCCCCGTCATAGTAAACTCAACTTTCATTGTGGTTGTTTTTGCTGTTGTTGTTGTTGTTGTTGTTGTTTTCTTTCTTGTTGTCTTGCAGATTCTTATCCAGAAATAAGATACATAAATTAACAGAAAATGTTTTCTTCAAACTGGTGAACTTGCAACACTTGTAAGTATATCCATTTACCTTTTGGACATAACAATAACACATAACACCGGTAAAAAAGTTTCTGAAAAATACCCCGCGGGGGTTAGGTAGTGGGAAGAGAGGAGTACATGTATGAACGAGGAATTGCAAAGCACCAGTGTTCACCTGTAAATAGCTGCAGCGTTATGTAAGAGAATGTTTCATAACTGCGACAGTTTTATCAATTAGTTTTCATGATGATTACTTTTTTACTGTATTTCTAAGAAATGTATATTCAAAATGAATTTATGTTCCTTCTTGGCTTGCAGAGATTTGTCTCATAATGCCATTCGCCATCTCCCTCGAAGGATATTCGCTGGACCATCCCAATTACTTTCATTGTACGTTTCTCCTCACTTTTCTCTTGACAAAATACATCGTTTATGAGCAAAAGTAGCCATTTTCTGGTGTAGGTTGTTATGGAAAATGACAAGAGAAGTACCTTGATGTTCTTTTGATACAGAATACAGCATTAGCAGATGGTATCTCGTGGAGAAAACATAGAAAAATCTTTGCCGACATGGCTGTTCAAATATTTACAGAGCTTGTGAAACTTAGTAAACTTTATAATATAAATGGGCTCATACAAAGTTTCGGTTTTTAAATCTTCAAGTTCAAATTTCTTCTCACTTTTAATCCTGTCATGCCCTTTCAATGCTTGATCTGAACTAAAGGAGCTAGGGTTTGGATAAAGATTGATGCAATGGAACACAAATATAAACACAAGTATTCACAATTAATAAACAACATTATGTCTAATTTTAGGAACCTGAAATGGAATCGCATTAAAAAGCTACCCACGGAATTATTTTTCAACCAGTTAAAGTTGGAGGAATTGTAAGTTTGTTTGCGTTTTTTCATTAAATTAAACGAACACAGTCACTATTCAGAAGTCTCAATCCGTCCTGTCGAGTCTTACCGGCAAGTTGTAGCACTGAAAGATCCAGAAAACTATCATGTTTGAAAAAAAAGATGCCCAATTGATTTCAAAGACATATCGAAAAAGATATGCTTAGAGGCCACAGGTAACAGGGGTATAAGAGGGAATGACCAAAATTTATTCATAAAAGAAAGGAATTGCATGGTCTTTTGTTTCACTGCCCTTAAATTTGTACCTTTTTGTTTTGCAGATTCTTATCCGGAAATAATATAGAAGATTTAACAGAAAATGTGTTCTTGCATTTGGTGAACTTGCAGCATTTGTAAGTATATCAATTTCCTTTGTTGACATAACAATAACACATTGCACTATTACCGAAAAAAACATTAAAAAAAAATACGCGGGTAGGGGGTTGGGATTGGGAAGAGAGGATTATAAACAAGGAATCGCAAGGTACCCGGTGTTTGAATGTCACACGCGCAGCGTTACGGGAGGGGGTTTTTTTTTTATCACTGCGGCAGTTTTATCAATTCGCTTTTATATAGCATATGTTTTACTGCATTTCTGAGAAATACCTATTCAAAATATGTTAACTGTTTTCCTTCTTGGCTTGCAGAGATTTGTCCAACAATATCATTCACTGTCTCCATCCAAGGATATTCGCAGGACCATCTCAATTACTTTCCTTGTACGTTTCTCCTCTCCGGAATAAGATAAGAGAAGTACCTTGATAGTCTTTTGATAAAGAATACAACATTAGCAGATTGTATCTTGTGGAGAAAAAAATAGAAAAATCATTGTTGTCATTACTGTTTATATTTTGCCTTGTTAATGAAGGAATCGTGTTAGAGACACATGGAATTCAAATATTTACAGAGTTTGTGAAACTTAACAATCTTAATGATATGAATAGGCTCATAAAAAGTTACTGGGTGAACTTTCTTCTGACTTTTAATCCTGTCATGCCCTTTCAATACTCGATCTGAACTTAAGGTCCTAGGGTAGGGTTTAAGATTAGTGCAATGGAACACAAATATAAAGACTAAAATTCACAGTTAATGAATAACATTATGTCTAATCTCAGGAATCTGAAATGGAATCGCATTAAAGAGCTACCGAGTAGATTGTTCTCTAATCTGTCAAAGTTGGAGGAATTGTAAGTTTGTTTGCGTTTTTCCTTCAAATTAAACGAACACGGTTACTGCACTAGAAGTCTCTGCCCGAAATACATGTATGACGTTAACATGTCAACTTTTACCCGCAAGTTGTTATACTGGCAGACATGCAAACCTATCATGTTTGAAAAAAAAGATGCCCGGTTGATTTCGAAGACATCTTGAAAAGGAATGCTTAAAGGCCAAGACTTGGACTGAAAGCCACAGTAAACAATGGTGTAAGTGGGAAAGACCAACACTTATCCATAAAAGAAAATTGCCATTTGTTCGCAGTTCCTTATATTTCTTCCTTTTTGTTTTCAATCAATCAATCAATCAATCAATCAATCAATCAATCAATTTATCAATCAATCAATCAAACTTTATTTATAGAGAGTAACCACCTAATAGTTACACAACTGATAAACTTGTGACCCTCTTAAATATACAGTAATTAAAAATCTGCAGATTCTTATCCGGAAATAATATACAAGTTTCAAAAGAAAATATTTTCTCGAATTTGGTGAACTTGCAGCACTTGTATGTGCACAAATTTACGTTTGAGACAAAAATAATACATTACACTATCACCGATAAAAACATTTTTTAAAAAATACGCGGGTAGGGTTGGCATTGGGAGGAGAGGAGTATAAAAGAGAAGTTGCAAGGTACCCAGTGGTTACACGTAAATAGTCGCAGCGTTGTGTAAGGGTATTTTTATTACTACAGCAGTTTTATTAATTCGTTTTTAGATAGAATAAGTTTTCACTGTATTTCTGAGAAATTTATATTCAAAATATGTTTATTTTCCTTCTTGGCTTGCAGAGATTTGTCCTCCAATGTCATTCACCATCTCCATCGGGGGATATTCGACGGACTATCTCAATTACGTTTCTTGTACGTTTCTCTTCATTTTTTCTCTTAACAAAATACATTGTTTGATAAAAAGTAGCTATTCCTTTGGTGGTGTTGAAATAATAGTGAGGAACCACGAGACTGTTATGGATAAAGGCACGAGAACTGACATCAAGGTACATGTAAGTACCTTGATGTTCACTTGATAGAGAATATAGAGTTAGCAGATTGACACCTTGTGGAAAAAAATTGAAAAATCTTTGCTGACATCACTGTTGACATTTTGCCTTGCTAGTATACACCTTTAAGTAAAGAAGGAATCATGCTAGCTACACATTGACTTCAAACATTAATCCTGCCTGTCATGATCTTTCAATGTCCAAAATTGATATTTTTGTTGCCGGCGAGTCCGAACGAAGCGAGGGAGCCCTCCCCCGTCACTCTCCGAATTCTTCAGTTTCGCGCTCGTCCGTTCGCTGTGCCCGCCGAATTTTTTCCCGTGCTCCCTGGGAAACTATACGCAGGCTAATATTTTTGTTACTCGATCTGAGCTTAAGGGCCTAGGACTTGGATAAAGATCGATTGGTGCAATGGGACACAAATATGAACACAAGTATTTACAATTAATAAACAACATTATGCCTAATTTTAGGAGCCTGAAATGGAATAGCATTGAAGAGCTACCCACGGGGTTATTTTCCCATTTGGTAAAGTTGGAGGAATTGTAAGTTTATTGGCGTCTTTTATTTAAATTTAAAGAGCAGTTACTACAGACGTCTCGGTCCGAAAGATGACTCTGACCCAGTCCACTCGTACTCGCTAGCTGTTGCACTGGACACCCATTACGTTTAAGAAGAAGATGCCGAAATTATTTCAAAGACATATCGTAAAGTATTTTAGTTTGCTTGTTACATTGCTTATAGACCAAGACTTAAGGCTGAAAGCCACAGTTAAGAGTGGTATAAGAGGGAAAGACCAATATTTATCAATAAAAGAAAGGAATTGAATGGCCTTTTGCCCGTTCCTTATAATTATATGCAATATGCTTCATTTTATTGCAGGTCTCTCGGCAGGAATAAACTTTACAATCTAACTGCAGGAACATTTTCCAACCTACGAAATTTGACTTTCTTGTAAGTCTGTTTAGGAGGGTGCTAATGGAAGGGGAGGGGATGGGTGGGTGGGGAGGTTGGCTTTCATGGTTGTCTGTCCAAAATTTCACGTTATTAAGGTAGACGAAACAATTTCAGGCCTTTTGACGTTACCGAAAAAAAAGAAAAATCAATTCACCGCATTTTGATCAGCGAAAGTGATTTCATAGTTACGTAACTTCAAATGCATCAGGCAAAAATGATGTTGCTATCTAATCGTATATAATACAGACATACATACACACTACACTTTATTTGAAAACGGTAGAAACATCAATTATGTTACAAAAAAAATGACCTACATGTTTGCCGTCTGAAAGTACGAGCAGGACTTAAAGATACATAATAATCATGAGCGCGATTGAACCTTGGTCTAATTAAGTCAATCGTCATCGTCAAACTATAAGTCAATATATATTATTTTTCTTTGAGTTTCTTCGAATTTGACAAATAAATTCGAAATTTTGTTTTGGTAAATTTCCTTAGTCCAGTCCTAACACGATGACCCTTGCAAACGCTCAAATGCATAAAGGATAAAAAGATTTTCTCGTTTTAAAAAGTAATCGGATAAGCAAAACTTGTGAAGAGTACTTCAAAATGAAATAAGCGAAAAAAAGATGCTGTCATTGTCAAGTTTCAAATGCAAAAGCCAGTGTCCGTGCTTAACTATCTGTTTAAATATATGCATAAAAATGTGATTCTGACGTGTGTTTTGCAGGGATTTGGAGTCAAATAAGATTCCGTCTCTACCAACAAGAATATTCTCCAACTTGCGGGCACTGAAGCACCTGTAGGTTTTACAACAGTTCAAAATCTCTTTCATTAAAACTTCTATTGTATCCTGCATAGCAAGACCTGTTTTTTTTTTTTTTATTTATTTATTTATTTTTTTTAAGTAGGACCTATATTTCGTCACTAGTCCCAATATTAGCTCACTTTTGTTTTTCGGGTGGGAGCAAAAAATTGCATTGATAGTACGCCACGAACCTAAGTCAAGACCTGTAATCGGTCATGTGAAATCTCCACCTTAACCCATCTCCTTTTTTGCTACTATCACTTTTTACCTCATGATTTGTACTTCATACCATGAGGTATAGTGATGGTTGGATTGGTCACTCCATTCCCGTTAAACAATTAATGCATGCATTAAATCCGCGTTAAACATTTATTAAAGACATTTCCCCCTGTCCCCCATACTACACACTGGTCATATATGTGGGGGGAGGGGGTGGGACAAAGGTGGCAGTACATGTTTACAAAATGGCGTCTGTTACGTCGAGTCCGACGCAAGAATTGTTAAGGCGAGTTTTCTTTCCTTTCGCTCCATCTTTGATCAAAGTAAATTTTTCAAGACCTCACAAACGAACAGGAAATGTGCTCAAGAAAGCTCGAGTGGAAAGAAATGGGTTTTAAAGTCTTAATGTCTCTAAGATACATTTGGACGACGAGGAATATCAATAGAATGCACAAAACGAACTATTCGGAATGAATGCTTTATGATCTGGGGAAAAAGGTAAGCTGCCTTTCTTCTACTGTATTGCATTTTGAATTTTCTAAACATACTCGCAGGACGTACGATTTAAAATTAAATGCGCTTTTAATATTTCGCAATTCGCTAGGAAGCTGTTCGGAAAACGTCACATGACAAAGGAGATCGATGAAGCTTTGGTCAAGTTCCCCTCTCGCTGGGACTTAAATGCCACAACTGTGACAAGCTCTAGAGATTGAAAACAACTGCCAAACAAATGCTAAATACAATATACGCCAAATAACA